AAAGAAACGAAAACATTTATAAATTTCACACAACAATGCCTTGGAATTGTAAAAGATATGCACGAGTGCATTGAATGTGTCTAAACAACAATTTGGCATTATCCGCTATTGCCAGCTTCCGTTTGTGCAACCCGTATACGTAAGCCGCCGAAAAAATGAAAAATCTTGTTTTGTGATTGGGTACAAACGCCAATACATTATTCATGTTCGAAGCCATGGCATTCGCATAGAGCCAACCTACTCTTCACCACCCCCAACCTCCAACATTACTGCTCAGACAGGTGTGCAAAATAGCTGACGGATATTTCACAGATGTCACCTATTTACGGAGCTGTATTTCTAGCCCAGAAATAGGTTCCTCAGAAGAAGTTTAAAGCAGAATTATGTGGAAATAAAAAAAAGCATTTTCAAAAATCAATTATTTAAAATTGACGATTCATTTCAGAAGCAACCCAAAACCCAACTTTGATTAATGTACAAAATATATTAAGGTGAAGTTTAGTATCAAAGTGTTGTTAAAAAACGTAGTTAAAAATCATTAAAAAATAATACAGTTAATAGGATAGCATCTATTAATCGATAAGAGTTTTTCATTCCTTGGGCATCAAATAATAGTAAATGACTAGAAATTTTCATACGTTTTCTCAGAGTTTCTTACTTTGTGTAGCAGTCGAAACAAAGCTTTTAAAGGGCCGGATCCCTGAGTTCAAAGCTATTTAAAAAATTGAGAGCTCCGATCATCGAAATCCTACATTCTACCCGATACCATATTGGGGCCTAAGCCTCAAAACAGCCGAAGCCTAATCAAAAAGTTACCATTGCATTATAATTTCAGTCAAAAGTTTGCAACGCAGTGAAGGAGACATTTCCGACCCTATAAAGTATATATATTCTTGATTATGTCCATACGTACGTCAGTTTCTACGCAGACTAGTCCCTCAGTCTTAAAGCTATCTGCTTGAAAGTTGTCTTTCTGTTGCAGGTAGTATATAAGTCGGAACGACTATATCATATAGCTCCCATAGAAATCGAAATGTAGTCGATTTGTAATAACTGCAAGGGTATATAAATTTCGGCTTGCCGAAGTTTGCTTCCTTTCTTGTTTCTATTTAGCGTAGTTTACTGAAATATTCAATTTGTCTTCAATAATCCCACTAATAGCTTGAACCCTACACTCATTGACATAATAAATGAATATCCATTTGTTTTGCCTGTACATTGAGCGACTTCAATATAGTAAGTGTACTTACCTCATCTCATCATCGAAGTATCGCATTAACAGAGACTATTTTTATACCCCTTACTCGTAGAGTAAAAGGGTATATTGTATTCGTGCAAAAGTATGTAACAGGTAGAAGGAAGCGTTTCCGACCCTATAAAGTATATATATTCTTGTTCAGGATCACTAGCCGAGTCGATCTAGCCATGTCCGTCTGTCCGTCTGTCTGTCTGTCCGTCTGTCCGTCCGTATGAACGCTGAGATCTCGGAAACTATAAAAGCTAGAAGGTTGGCATTTTGCATGTAGATTTTAGGAGTTCATACGCAGCGCAAGTTTGTTTAAAAATGGTGCCACGCCCCCTCTGACGCCCACAAGCCACAAGCTGTGGCCACAGTTTTGATGCTATTATGAAAATTTTAATTGATATGTATTTATTTCGTCAATACCTATCGATTGGCCTAATAAAAGTTTGCCACGCCCACTCTAACGCCCAAAAACCCATTAAACGCTTAAGCCTGGCTAGCGCCTACATTTCCGCCTTTCATGGCCCGTAGCGCCATCTAACGGATGACTTTGGAACAGCTGGCCAAGGTGCTAATTCGAGCGGCGAAAAACATACAAGAAGGCATCTTTATATTAAGTTGTTTAGCTGAGTAACGGGTATCTAATAGTCGAGGCACTCGACTATAGCGTTCTCTCTTGTTATTTTACGTATTGAAGGAATATTTAACATAAACATGTTATTTGACATTAATAATTTTCTGCACTCTGCTTGCAGTTATTAACAGCTACCGTTGCTGGACAAATTAAAACGTCCAGAACTTAAATTGGTGTTTAATCATTTATTAGGCACATTCTTAAAAATTGATTTAATTTCAATCCATCAACGTTTAAGACTTTCCTCCTGTTTTCTGTAGGTTCAATTCATTGTACACATCCTTTACCAATTTCAAAGTACCGTTACCAAAAGTCTCAATGCCTTTTGCCAATTCCTGCAGAATAAAGGCAATAGAAAATAATTATTAAGGTGATTTTTTATCTTTTTAAAGTCGAACTGATCAGAAATTTTGGCTAGTTCGTTTCTATAACAGCCATCGCATATAGCATGCGTGTGTAATAATACAAAAGCAAAAGCTTAGGCATTGCGTGAATAAGGTGAATCAGATATATTTGATTATTTTGATCAAATTTAAGTAAACTGACAAAAATGTTTATTACAACGTTTATATAACAGGCCTATTAGCAATTAAAAATTAATCGGTCAATTAAAAATCAGTCACATTCTTTTTTGGATCTTATAACACAATATATTATTATCACTTTGTAATTGCGAATAATCCGGGCATATAAACGTATTATGAACTGGCTTTAGAAATAACTAGCCAGAAATATAATCCGCTGTGCAATGGTATAATAAAATAAAAAGTTGTTGTATTACCTTAGCTTGGGGCGAATTTAAAAGCTTGCCGACTTCTTCTTTAATTGTTTCTAAAGTCAACGGTGTGGCTGTGGCTTCCTCACGAGTGACGCGACCAGACATGGCCACCTGAAACCAAAGATCCGCATTACAACTTTCCCACACACATCGCGATGCGGATCCTTTTCCGGGTACGAAACTTTAACTTACGGCGAACAGGGCGAACAGAAGGAAGATCAGTGCAATCTTTGCCATTTTGAGTTGGTTTTTTTTTAGTGCTACGAAGCTCTGAACTGGAGAACGTTGACTTGAGTACTGATTGAACGTCTGCCAAACTACTCATAACAACACCTCGTTTTGCGTCGCAGCCGGGCCGAATTTGAGCCCGGCTTATCGCCACTAGGAAGGCCGAGCGTTTAGAGCTCCGCAACTGACCCGTGATAAGCGTACTTTTTTCCGTCGCATGCTGGAATGTGTGGCCCAGACTCACTGCTGTGCGTTTGCTTCATCGGGAATCTCTAATTTGGTGTATTTACAGCAGATAACGTTTATATGAAACCGCGAATAAGTCTTTGTGCTAAGCTTTTTTAACATTGTTCAGCTTTCGCTCACATTTTGCCTGTTAAATATATTTTTAAATACATATTTTTTACATTTCTTTTTTTATATATAATTAAAAAAAATACATTTTTACAAATACAAAATTAATGATTTCTCGAATTGTAATTGGTAAACAAATTGTTTCAATCTTCTTTTCCCTTCAGGAATAACTGTTTTCGATTTTATTGAGATTTACGCCCCAAAACTAAACTGGGCTGTGGGTTCTTCAGCACCCGGAAATAATATGCTTATCGACTTTTTTTCCGCATTTATTTGTAAAATATTAAAAAGCTTATATCAATTTGAATACATACATACATAAATATAGGGTAATACAAAATAGGATGCTTTATTAGTTTTTTTGTTGTATATTATGAAAGTTCACGCGTTTTCAGAGATAAGTGGTTGTTTTTAATTTTTAGTTTGTTTTTTGTTCTAATCAAATTGCTTAGGCAGCATCCGTTATAGAAAAGCACGTGGCAAATGGTCTCATTTTGATAAGAAGTTTTTTGAAATTCTTGATAAGGCGCCCTATATTTGAGAAATTGTGCGAAGTCATTATTAAACTGTGTTTTTATAAGCTACACAGTGCAACACGGAAAATGTCCATTTTTCGAGCCAGACCACTGACACAAAAAATCATGTAATCTTATTTCGAATTTAACTTTAGAATTCGATGTTAAAGTTGCGGTCATGTTCCAAAACCGTAAAATTGTTGCCCATCGTTATCCTAAGTTTAGTGAACTTAGAAAGGTAACTTGAGTACGTCGATCTTCAAAGTGGAATTTTAAAAACTTTATGGGCTCACTTCTTTTTAGACTGTCGTAAATCTCAAAGGTTTCATAAGTGTACGCTACACTGTAGCTCACCTCCAGGGGTTAAAGCTGTTAATTTTGCTAGCATATATAGTTTTTTGATATTGTTTTTTTTTTTGGATGACTTGAAATTCGTCTTGAATAATTGAAACAATGAGGGAATGAAAAGTACAGTTCGCTGATCTCGACAGACAGGCCGATAAGCCGTCAGTTTGTTGCCCGGAGCTCAACAAAGATTACATAACAATTTGAATAAGTCAATGTTTTTGTTGATAACAACAATCGTCATGTTTGACTGTTTGGCTTTAAATTCTTGGTTTTTAAGTAGCTGATTTTATATACAAACTGTTTGAGTAATTAATTCGTAAGCTGAAATAGAGAATTCTGTAGAATTCCGAATTTAGAATAGGAAAAGTAATCAAGGCCTCGAATATTTATTAAAAAGATTTTTGAATATATGTATGTAAAAGTATGTGAATGTTATATATATATATATTATTTATATATTATTTACGCATCAGAAATATCTACATAGCTGATAACGATGATTATAATTTAAATTGAAAGCCATACATTCATGTAATAGTTATTTAAATCACAATTACACCAAATCTCAATTATTTTCGCCTATGACTTGACTCCTGTTTTTAAGGGCAATCCATTAAAACCATAAATGTGAAGTGCGATGTTGACGGGGTTTTCCCAACCAATTTTAGACGCCAAAATTTTCGCTTAGCAACGAGCTAAGCGGCGAACAGAGCTCAAAGTGGATGACTTTACGCCTCCCATTGGTGCTATTCCCAGACACAAACAAACCAAATTAAGTGGCCGTGGCAGTCGAAAGACCCAGACCAGATCCCCAGAATCACAAATAAATTTTCATTTGGGGCAATGAAAATATTTAATTGCAATTTCGCCAAGTGGCTGGAACTTAGTCCAATGGACTGGCTTGCTGGCTGGACGAGTTGAAGTCCTCCTAGGGCACCGAACTGAGGATGTGCTCCGGCACTGGCGGATGACATTGCGGCAGTGGGGGGCCCAGAGTGGGGTAGGTTCTCAGACGGAGCAGCTCCAGAATCGTCTGCAATTCCAGCACGTGGGCGTAGTGGCGGCGCACATTCTCCATGAGCTGCCGATGGGTCTTGATCTGGGCCATGCTGCGGGTTAGAGGAATGGTGTTATTATCAATACACTTGGCACGCTAATACACAAATTACATAATAATATTTGGTACACAAAATTGTGCCCTACACAATTGGTTAATTCAAAATAAAATTAAATAAATATCTGAAATGTTGTGTAGTATCTTAAGAATTACAGCTAAAGATTTTTTATTACATTAAGAATAAGTTGATCAAGTTATTTAAGATCTAGATCAATTATTGATTATTAATTATTTAGAAAAATATCACAGAAAACAAATTTATATTATATGAGATTATATTTGAATGCCATAATAAAATATTGCTCAATAAAATAACATCATTTAGTGCCCATCTCTGGCATTTAGAATAAATATTGATTTTCTATTTCTTTACATATTTCTCTGTACATTCCCATTTAATATCGCACCGAATTTTTTAAAGTGCTAAAAATTTATAAGTCAAAAATTTTATTGAGGTTTAATTCAATGTTTGAACTGGGATAAACATAATTTTGTACAGTGTTCGGGCTCCTTGGAAAGGTTATCTTACCGCTCGCGCTGCTCGCGATCCCGCTTGTCCTCCATCATGGTATCGCGCAGAGTGTTCTGGAAAGTGACATCGACCTTGATCCGCTCGATCTTGAAATCGATGCCGTGATTGCTGCGCTTCACCTCCAAAGTCTGGGCCTTTATCGAGTCGATATTGATGTTCCTTGGGTGGCAACAAATATTTGGCTAAAGTTGAGGAGAGTCAGACTTAGACTTAGACTTACACGCGATCGATGTGTTTCTTGAAGGCCGCTATCTTCTGCTCGATCACTCGTTCGATGGCCCCGCCTATGTACTTCTGGCGTTCGGTCTTAACCTTTTCCCAGTTGCGCAAAATGTTCAGGAACTCCATCGACACCTTGCACTTCTCGATGGCATCCAGCATGTATTTGAGGTAAGCTATATTGGCCTTGTAAAGCTTGTGTTCCCACTCCTTGAAAATAACCTGGCGCCTAAAAACAGCCACTCTCTGCATGGCCTTGATCTTTTTGTTTCCGGCTTCCTAAATAATTTATGCATTGTTATTGCCTCGAAATTGTTATCGATATAGAACTCACCTGTATCTGTTGATTCACATTGTTGATGTCGTCCACATGCATGAGAACTGTGTTGGAAAGCATGGTGAACTTACCCAAAACCGAGACTTCAACCTGGCCCTTTGTAAGCGTCAACTGGATCGTCATGTTTCTCATCTTTTCCAACTGCAGTGGAGAAATCAATTTGTATTAATCAAAAAACATAATATGTTGGATATAGGTATAAGAGTTATTTTTGATTACTATTAAAGATTGGCCGTTTAAGTATTTTCATAAAATCCTAAAATGCCCAAGAGTATGCTGTAATTTTTCACGGTAGATGTTCAAATTGAATTCTCTCGTATTCTCTCTCATATTTAGTTTATATTGTTTTAAACAAATTGTGGACAAAAAACGGGAGGCATCTTAACTCTTAAGGCGATTAATAATTGATCTTGCAGAAACTCTTAAAATTATTATTTTTCCCTTTTTGAAATTAACTAGAAAGCAAAAATAAACTCAATCGGCTGTGGTTGTACATTCCCAATTTTAGTTAAATGCAAAGCAGAAATGAGTTATTGTTCTATGCTAAAAATGAAGCACTTTGCTCCTTTACTTTTGCAGTAAGCTTGTTTTGAAATCAAACGGGCCAATAAGAAATTGAGAAGCCCGTCAGATTTGTGTGACAACTTACGTATGTTTGGATGCTCTCCTCGGCATTGCGCTGCGTCATCACCTTGGAGTCCTTGAGCGCCGTGAGGTCCTTGTTGAGGACGCTCAAATACGCCTGGCTGTCCAGCAGCTGATATCCAATGCCCTTGAGCCGCAGTTCGCTCTCCGTCTTCTGGCGTCGCAGCTTGACGAAGGTGTCCCAGGATTTGGCGTCCACCTGGGGAGGACACTGCTTGGGCTGGTCGAATTCGGAGAGATAGTTGAGGAACTCAAGGACATCGTCGGGCAAGGGGAATGGTGTGCGATGGCTGGGCTTGCCACTCAGTTTGTTCGATGCCTCCATGCAGATGAGCACCGAGTTGAAGATCTTGCCCGGCAGTTTGGGTCGCTTCTTGAACAGCTTGGTCATTTCGTGGGTGGCATGAGGTACCAATGGTAAAAATTGGCTGCGAAACTGACGTTCGACGGCCCGATCGCGTGTCTGCTGAGCCTCCAATCGGGTCTTGACATCCTGAAAAGCCTTGTCGTAGAAGTCCAGAAGATAGCCGTAGCGCGTCATATATTCGGTCAGCTTGTCAATGTCCTTGCGGAACATGCTGAAACGCTTTCGCAGCTGAACGCGCCCGAAATTGATCTGCTCCAGGGTGAGCAGACGCAATTGGCCCTGTTTTAATGCAAAGTCATACTTCAGTTTCGTGATCATAAGCTCGGCCACGCGCTGATTGAGTTTCAGGATGTGGGCGGCCTTCTGAGCCAGGGTCTTCTCCTCATTCTCATGCAGGATGCGCAGATACTTGCGACGATCCAGCTCCAATAGGTGCACTGCCTCCTCGTAGGCCCGGAAGATCTTTTGCTCCTCGAGATTGTACTCGTGCGGCTGCTTCTTCTGCATGAACTCCGGCTCCGGGATGTCCTTCTTGATCTCCTCCTCCCACAGCTTCTCCAGCACGCCGTCCATCATGACGATGAGTGCCCGAGCCCAGAACTCGGTGCTCCACAGGAGCAGTCTTCCCTTCTTGCCACCCGTGTCGATGGTCTTGGGCTTCCTGCGGTTTATCGCCTTGATCTCGGAGTCGTCCACCTCCATGATCCGCTTGATCACCTCGTCCTGCTCCAACGCGGGCATCGTGAGTTCAGGCGGCACAAACTGCTCCATATTGAGCAGACGCAACATGATGTTCATGTTGTCGTAGATCTTGTTCAGCACCACGTTCGTGTTCATCACACTGTCGATGGTGTCCTGCTTGAGTTGCTGGGCCTCGTGGAAGAGCTTGTTGAACTCCTGCTTGAGCGGATCGTTCAGATAGTAGCGGATCTTGCAGTTATAGTTGAACAACTGGTTTGAGGTCACCAGGTTTTTATCCTGAAGCTGGAAAACGGGCGCCATTATGTGTTCGTAAACACTATGACCCTCCACCACGAACTGTTTGAGCTCGCGCAATCCCTGGAATACCTCAGTGGCCTCCTCCTCCTCGCCGATATCACCATCTTCGATGCCAGGCGGTGGACCATGACCGCCAGCGGCTGGAGCTGCTGGTTCCTCCTCCTCAAAGGAACCCAAAGATAGGCGCATGTGATCTTCGAGGTCGTAGAAACGATACTTGTCGAACTCGGCCATCTCGATCTTGCGCCGCACCGAGAAGCTCTCAAAGTTGGCATCCGCGAAAATCGATCGTACGCGATAATTGATGCTCACTGCATCACGGGTCACCAGGCGCAGGATCCAATCTCGAATGCGGGCCTGGTCCGCAATGGCCCGCTCCAGAGATTCCCGCTCCAAGGCGCACAGCTTATGGGCCTCAGTCGTGAGGGCGTCCAGCCAAGGGTAGTGGAAACAGAACTTCTTGAAGATACCGCGCGTTTTGCCCGTCTTCGAGATGTCATAGTCGATCAGTGCCGTCACCTTGGCCGCGAAATCCTTGATGCTGGCAAACAGCTTATCCCGCTTCAGTAAATCCGCCCGTGTGTACTCCTCCTTGACCTCCTGCCGCAGACTGAGCGGCAAAAACATGTCCACTTTGTGGAGGGTCTGCTCTATGTAACAGGCAATACCCTCCTCCGTTGGCAATGGCAAGGCCACATTCTCCCGCACAAAGTCCGCCAAGGAGGGCAGTCGCATCACACGCAAGCTTTTGTTGGCCAGCAAAATGAGCAGGTATCTACATTTAAATTATGAAAATAAAGTAATCATAAATTCAGTTAATTCAAGATACTTACTTGGAGTTGAAACACTCCTTCACCCGCAATATGAACTCCGTTTGCAAGCCTATGTTAAGAAAGCGGCAGATCATGAATGGCTTCTTGGCCCGCTTGTGCTGCTTAAAGTGAACCAGGATGCCGCCCAGGCTCCAGGTGACCAGATGTTTGGTCATGCCCACGCCCAGGATGTAGCTAAAGTGTCCCGACTTTGTGGACGCAATCCACTGCAGTTCGTCCTTCTCGTTCAGCGCGAACTGGTCAAAGTTGAAGCTGTTGTACTCGGTGGCCACGATCTCGATCACCGCCCATCTTCCCACCGGCGGTTGCACGCAGAAGGAGCCGTACTCCTTCGGCAGGACATACTCCCGCCTGTGCAGGCGCTTATCCTTGCCCCAATTGTAGAGCCACAGCTCGGTGGCAAAGCCAGGTCGTTTCATGCTGTGCTGCCTATTGATGAAGACCATCAGGCGAGGGCCGTCGGCCAGCAGGAAGGTGTGGACGAACACCTGTGCCAGTTCCGGCTGGCTCAGCTCGAAGTAGTGCGTCAACTTGTGCGGCCTGGTGTCCACCTGGACGACGTGCAGCATCTTGATCTGATCCTGGTACACCAGCCAACTGTCGTTGAAGTCCAGTCCGACCACAGCAGCTGTCTCTAATTTCAGTTCGCAGAGGACATGCGGCAAACTGGCCCGCTCAAAGTGGATCAAAACGATGCGGGCATCCAAGGTGCCCACGGCGACCAGTGCCAGACTGCGATGGTTGGCCATGGCACTCGCCCCCAGGACCGAAACCTCGCAGAGGGTGTGACCCTTGGCCAGGTCCAGCATGGCCACTCCATCGTCGTACAGCGCACACACGCACTCGTCCTTGAGTCCTTGCAGCACCCGGAAGGTGATCACCGGTCGACCCGTGGGCACCACGCACTCCAGCGAGGCCGTTCCGCTGCGATCGATCATCACCTGGTCAATGTAACCTGGTCGACGCTCCGCGTAGATCTCGCCATTGATGTTGCTCAGGAAGCGGACGACCTCGTTCAAACGACCCTCAAGCTCCCACTCGAGCTGGAAAAACATTGTATTAGCAAAGATGTAGGGGATAAATATTCCTAAGGTAAGCAGTAAAAGTAACGTAAATTCTGCGCAAATTGTTGATATTACCCCTTAATACAAGCAGATCGATTTCCACTTCTGAATTTAATTTAAACATTGAAGGAATTTTTCAAAACATTTATATCACTTCTCATGTTTTCATTAATTAAAAAAGTATATTAAGTTATTTCAATTTAGCCGGATTAAGCTAGGAATATTTCGATATTTCTTCTCTACGCTCGCTAGATTGAAACCCAACCTAAAATGGTTAATTCCTCTGAGCCTACATGCTAAGCCACTATTAATAGTTCGATCCATCTAATGGAAACGATATAAAATGTGGCAATGCTGATACTTAAGAAACTTAGTAAATGACTTCTTTTAACTAAAATTAAGACGTCTTGCACCAGGTTATACCAAACCTACCTTGTAGACGCCCGCCTTTTTCTTCACATAGACGGCGCTCGAGCTGTTCCAGATGATGAACCCGGATCGGTGGTAGGTGAGGCCGTGGGCACGGGGCATCATTTCCCTTTCCGACCCCTCCTCCAACGCGGGGGGGCGCCACTGGGGCCTCAGGACGAACCCGGCCACATCCACCGAGAGCAGGTGGCCATAGTCGTTGGTGGCGTACAGGCAGTTCTCCTCGGAAAAGGTGAGGCAGCGGTCGCAGGACTTGAGGAAAGCCTTGCCCAACTCCACCTCGTACACCTTGTACATGAAGGACTCCTTCTCTACGGTGCAGATGTCGTAGCCCAGGATGGTCATCTCCTGTTTGTTTAACTGCACGATGGCGGGTAGGTTGGAGGGGCCGACTATAATGCCGCGTTCCACGGTTGGCACATTGGTAACTTGTTCCAGGACCAAGGCTCCCGTGCGGTAATTATAAACGCATACGCAATAGTCGGGATACCCGCCCACGGCTACCAGTATGTCGAGCTCCGAGAATCGAATGTCGGTGTAGCTTACCATGTGAGCTGGGGAGATTTCATTATTTGGCATAGCATCATATTCTAGCTAGATTATTTAGTGTTCTTACAGAAGTGCAGCGCTTTGATGACACAAAAAAAGTATACGACAACGCAGTTACCGGCAACCTTCTTAACCTTCTTTTCAACCCAAACATTATTAATGTGTTTTAAATTGTTGAGTTTATAAAAATAATATAAAAGAATATAATCTACTTACTATAATAATAGACTACCTAATCATTAGTAATCATATACTTTTAGTTAAAGTATGAACAAAAGCTTATGAAGTAAACGAAAAACGACAAATCCTAATAGATTCCTGAAGCTAAACCCTAATTAAGTAAATATAAATCTTATAACAATGCGACACAAAATGTAAACACAATAAAGTCGGTCAAAAGCCATAGTATCTAAGGCCGCTAACCCTGGCTGGAACTTTAGTTTATAAATTTAAGTTTACACAACGACAATGGTTTTTACATATTCAAAATCATGTGGAGCTTCCACAAATCTATCACTTAAATGCAGACCAATAAGTAAAAGTATGATGTGCTGACCACTGGATTAAGGGATATTCCATATTCCCAAGACAAACTCACGTGGAATGGAGCTAAACCTGGACATATCTGGATAGCGGTACACATAGATATTGGGTCGCAGGACGGTCTCGGCGAAGGCGAACAGTGGGAAGCGGTTGTGTCCGGAAAAGCAACTGATACTCAGGCCGGTGGCCACCGTCTCCGCCTTGAAGAAACTGACAGCCTTCGTTTGCATGTGGACGAACTTGATCGCATTGCCATTGCGCTGGCACAGGACATCGGGGCCGACATTCCAGGTGGTGTCCTTGTCCCAGACGTTGCACCAACTTGGGTTTGGATGAGTAAGCGCATGATCCCGTTGACAAATCGCTTAAAACTCACCAAACTGTTGAGATAATATTCATAATTGAACGGTCCGATGCCTGCGATTTGGTTAACTGCCTTTCGACTGCCAGTCAACAAGTTCTGGGGTTGCTAAGATGACTATTTACCTGCTCGAGTTTGCTACGTTTCCCTGGGTAACCAGTAACACAAGTGTTAATTTTGGCGGTTCTTGTTTACTGGGTAACTTTTATTTTAACGTATTACTTATACTAAGTAGAGCTTAAGACAAATATGTTGTAAAGAACAACATAATTCTACATATTTGATATAGGTAAGTTATGGCTTTGAATCTAAGTTTGTGGTAACGTTTTTATTTGTTTAACTTTATATTTAATTGTAATTGTGATAATAAATTTAATCATAGCTTGTTTTTTGTTTTTCTTGATAATTCGATGGTTGGCACTATTGAATTGCAGTTCGCTTATGATCTTATGGACTTTTTTGTTTATTAGAATATTGTACTCGGCCTTCAAAGTCAAAAGTAGAAGATAATAACAACAACCAGCTTTAGTCACAATTTAAATGGAAATACTGAAGTCAAATTTTCAAGAAAGCAGACCTAAAATGATACTAATTTAATCAAAGCAAAGCTGTATCACATTTCTTCAAATGGCTGAAATCGATGTATTAAGGGAGTTTTTCCCTATGTTTTCTGTCACCGAATTTCCCAGGCGACAACTTCTCTGACCCAAGTAAATTGCCTTGCCCACTTTCCCTCAAAAGTACAAACAATAAAAGTCCTGGACTATAAAAAACCAACGCCTTAGACAGCCGCTGCCTTTGGCGCAATTATATTTGTTTGTTTTTTCCCCGGCTGAACGTTACTTTAAAATTTGATGCGGCTTGTTATTTTTATTGCCAAAGCGTTATGGTTAATGGGGTTCCTTTTCTTCCCGACTCTAAGCGGTGATAGGTAATTCTTTTACGGGTCACCAGGGTGTCATTGCTTGTGTTTGAGGTTATTATTAAATTCCAACCAATTACACAATACGGTTGTACATATTTTATGCCATTCTTTAATGCTATCCTTGAATATTATTATATATTTTAATTAAATAAGAGAGAGAGTTTAATTAAGACCTCAGCCTCAGTTTAGAAACATTTACACAATTTACGATTCGCCTTTTTAAAATATCCCAGCCTAATGAGGCTAAATTAGTTAAAATTGGCTTAAATGCACATAAATTAAATCACTTTTCCATCGATTTATTCCTCGCGGAAGGCAATTAAAAACATTTTAGCACAGATTTTCATTTACATGGGACCATAAATTTTATTAAAAGCCTGAAATATGTTTAAATAAAATCCTAAAGCACGGCTCAACGCCGACAACTAATGGCTAACAACAAATAGAATGCATGTTAAATTGGGCTAACAACGGAAATGGTCTTTAGGCCGCTGGGTCAGATTTGTTTGCTGGCGGTATAAAAACTAATTTGCCGGGCTTACTATTTAAATTTGTTAAACATTCCGCACTCTAACAAATTAGCTTGAAAAGTGTGGAGAGCCGAATTTAATATTAATGTTTGGGATGTCCTATTCACGAAGAGCCCGACCCGTCGAAATGCTAATGAATAAAGAAATGGCAAATCCCGGCGGCCCATGTGGGTAAGGGAATGGGCTCGGGGTGTTGTGGGTCAAAAGGACAACCCCACTTTGTTGGTTCCTTGCCAAACGCTTAGCCATCTGCCAGCCAATTGTGTGGCCTATTCAGCTGTTGTTGACAAGACGGAAGGAAGGAATTTTCAGCACATCAGCGCAATCTTTTCTACAAAGTTGCCTTTTTACGACGGTCGCTACCTGTGGAGGATGTGCCCTGTCCCATCGTGTTCTTGTTGACGTCGTCTGGCCTTTATAAAATATTTATTGCCGCCACCTGAATGGGATGTCGAGGTCCCATACTTTTGGCTGCCTTTGGGATGCCATTACCCCACGTGGGGTTATTAACATGTTAAGGAGATAGGCAAAAAAATGTGAAAAATTGCTCGTTTCGACGGCCATAGTTCGGAGCACAGCCATTTCCAGAGGGTTTATAAATCGCATAGCTTTAAGAAAGCTCAATTTAAAGTCTACGTTTTTAAATAGTTTTTAGCAAAGACATTCTTTAATTTTATTTCCTAAAACTACTATATATTTGAAGCGAATAAATAATATAAAAATTTACAATGACGTGAAAAGAGTACAGATAGGCCAACTTTAGCAAAAAATTGTGAGGTAGGAGTTAGGGAGTTTATCATCATATCAATAGAATAAAACATTTTTCAAATCAAACTGGAAGTAATAGTTTAGGTCCCCAAATGCTAGAAACTCATAAAATATATAAACGTACTATATAAGCATAAATCTTCGAAGTCAACCAAATTTAACAAATATTTATGATCGTTCCTATGGCAGCTTTAGGATAAAGTCGGTCGACCGCAGAACTTTTAATGATCATTTAGATGATTTAAAAATACAATTTGAAAGGTTATAGCATAAAACCATGCGGACAGTATTACAGATATATGACAGCTAAAAATATAGTCAAAAAACTTTTATAAATATCAAAAACAGTGATAAGCCAAAGTTTTGATTTGTAAAGCAGAAAATGTAACAATTTTGTCTGGACACAACCCATCTGCGGACTGTGTGATTATTTCGAACTGCGGGTCACTCGACATGATAACTCACGTTGAGCACATTTATCCGACGGTATGCACATGTACACAATTTTCGGATGACATAACTATAACTGCTGCCAGATGATACCGAATCGGTATTACAGATGCCCCCTCGGGGAGAGATATGAACCGGTTGAGTGCTACTTATGGCACAATAATGATTTACAATGCATAGTTAATGCGTTTTTAATGAGTGCCTGCATGCTATTATAAAAAGTTGTGTGTGCAGCGGAAACTTGTCACCAGAGATTTGAGATTTCCGTGCCGCACAATGGGAAAGTTGCCGGCATCGTCATCTTCGCCTTGCCGCAAAGCCGCCTTAAGCGTTTGCAAAAGTTCTGCAGCACTAGAGTCATTAACATTAAAGACATTCCATGTTGCCAACGTGGTGATGGTGTTGCTGATGGTGATGGTGGTGGCGGGGGGGTGTCGTTGGTGCAGATGGCGAAAAGTTCGCCCCTCATATGGAAAGGCGGCACTGCAGGGGCACATAAATAATTGAGTGGCGCCCCAAAGTAGGCAGCAAAGTGCACCCAGCAAACTGCAAACTGCAGACAGCAGGTGCGGCCAGCGGATGTTAAATAGGGTGGTTGAGTGGGTGGCTCAGTGGGTGGTTCTGTGGATGTCTCAGTGGGTGGATCTGTGGGTGGAGCAATGGGAGGATGGGCAAATGGAGGTCCGTCGAGCTGCTTGGTTATGCGAATGCTGTGGGCTGCATTTACTTAAATAGAGGAGCCGCAGGGCTAAAGCGAATGGGCGTGGTCTTGATTTTGGTTTTCTATTCGCTTAAGGATGTTGCATTAAATTAAGGAAAACTAAAAGAGATGTTAGCAAGGCAACACCACCAGCACAATTTTTAATCCACTTTCTGAGAAAATTTAAAACGTTTATGGCTAGTTTATACACACGAAGTTAAAAGAGGCAAGAAAGGAAAGCTAGCATCGGGCGGAGCCAAAGTTGATATACCCTTGTAGAATATTCTGTAAATTATATTTTCCAAAATTATTCATATAATGCATTCTTAATACTCATAAAAAAATCTTTAAAAACAAAGTTATGGCATTTCCGATCGTTCAGTTATATGGCAGCTATAGGATATAGTTGGCCGATCCCGGCCGTTTCGACTTATACACTGCGTGCAAAGGGACGAAGGTTGTGTGCAGAGTTTCAATTCGATATCTTTAAAACTGAGAGATAGGTTCGCGTAGAAACAGACAGACGGACAGACAGACATGCTTAAATCAACTCAATCGATCCTGATCAAGAATAGATATACTTTATAGGGTCGTAGATGTCTTCTTTACTGCGTTGCACACTTTTGACCAAAATTATAATACCCTCAGCAAGGGTACAAATATATTTAACAGTCAAAATGAACTGAATTAAATCTGAACAATATTAAGTTTACCACAATTTGAGGTTTCATATAAACGTAATCTTCTGTAAATACACCAAATTAGAGATTATCGATGAAGCAAACGCACAGCAGTGAGTCTGGGCCACACATTCCAGCATTCCAGCACGCTTATCACGGTCAGTTGCGGAGCTCTAAACGCTCGGCCTTCCTAGTGGCGATAAGCCGGGCTCAAATTCGGCGCAAAACGGGGTGTTGTTATGAGTAGTTTGGCAGACGTTCAATCAGTACTCAAGTCAACGTTCTCCAGTTCAGAGCTTCGTAGCACTAAAAAAAACCAACTCAAAATGGCAAAGATTGCACTGATCTTCCTTCTGTTCGCCCTGTTCGCCGTAAGTTAATGTTTCGACTCCGGAAAAGGATCCGCACCGCGATGTGTGTGGGAAAGTTGTAATGCGGATCTTTGGTTTCAGGTGGCCATGGCTGGTCGCGTCACTCGTGAGGAAGCCACACAGGCGCCTTTGGAAAACTTTCAAGAAAGCATCGACAAGCTTTTGAATTCGGACCAAGTTAAGGTAATACCACAACTTTTTATTTTATTATACCATTGCACAGCGGATTATATTTCTGGCTATATATTTTAAAAGCCAGTACATAATAATAATAATATGCCCGGATTATTTGCAATTACAAAGTGATAATCATATATTGTGTTATAAGATCAAAAAAAGAATGTGACTGATTTTTACTAGACCGATTAATTGCTAATTTGCCTGTTATATAAACGTTGTAATAAACATTTTTGTCAGTTTGTTCCTTAAATTTGAAAAAAATAATCAAATATATCTGATTCACCTTATTTACATAATGCCTAAGCTTTTGCTTTTGTATTATTACATTCGCATGCTATATGCGATGGCTGTTATAGAAACGAACTAGCCAAAATTTCTGATCAGTTCGACTTCAAGAAGAAAAAAAACTCACCTAAATAATAATTTTCTATTGCTTTTTTTTCTGCAGCAATTTCAAGAAGAGCTAAAAAATTTGTATAACCAATTTAAGACCGACAGAGAAGC